TCTGCATTCATAAATTTATTAATGTCATTTAGACTAAACGACGCCATGTTTGTTATGTGCCTCTGCCGTCTAAACTACCTATCAAAAAAGAATGGTGGAAGAGAGCCAGAAGATCTTCCCTATGCTAAAAAACAAAAATGGACCTCTTCTGGCTCACTACCGAAGAACAAAAAAACACGCCCCAGGTGTTTTTGAACGATTTTGGCACTGAATTATGTAAAATTTATATGGCACACATGCGCAGTCATAAAGTAAATATTTGTTAGAAAAATCGTATAGGAATGATCTCTCAAGCTAATTCATGTAATTGCAAACAATTGTTTTTATAATATACCAGGATAATGATGGTCATATCATACATTGCGGCAAAAATGTGTCCCCCTTGGTACAAGAACAACTTGATTTCCTCTTGAGTTTGCGTTCATTTTTAAAACATTTAACCAATGTTTTGAAGAGAATTCCTTTATCAAACATTTTTTTCATATAGTAAACTTTCTGAAACCTACATAAAAAGTTTCAAATATTCGGATGTAGGTGGAAATGAACGAATTTTGCGGCGAATATGCGTCACCCACTCTATATTTTAACTAATTTGATTCGTTTAGAAAGAGTCACAGTCATGTTCAACTATATTTTCAAATGTAGACTGAAAACAGCAGATAGAAAAGTGATATTGCACGGTTATTTTTAGAATATCTGACACAATCGAAGCAACCAATCAAATGAATTGGTGCACTACTTAGCGGTAATAATAATATAACAATTGTAGCATTTTTATGAGGTCGATACGAGGATACATCGACCAAAAGAAGTATATTGACCTCGGATTTCGTCATCAGTCAATATACTTCATTCAGGTCGATATATCCTCGTCAGTCATACGTGCTAATGTGCATATCATTGGTCAATGTTTGTTGTTTCTCAATATTTTGTCATCTCTAAAGAATTTGGTGTGAAAGCAGATGTTCTGTGGTATCTTGTGAATTAATACACAATTTCTGAAGAGGAGAGACATTGTGTTAAAGTTGTTCATTAGAGGCAGCAACCAAACAACACAGTAACTTAAAAAGAGACAACTATACTATGATCAATTTATCAGAGTTTTACATATATGCAGAGACATGTATGTGTATATATGTTTCTGATATATGATATGGACACTCCGGATATAGATTTGCATGCGTCTTCTTATAGATTTGTCCTATGGCGCTAGTAAATATAATAGACATCTAAACAAAACTATCTATTTTTGCGGTTCATAAATTACATTCTGCAAATACATCATTGTACATGTATAAGAGAAAAAAATAAATATATCAAGCTTAATGAAAGCAAAAGCTGCAATATCTCTCAAAACGGAGTGAGTGAAACCTAAATTAAGCCAAGATTAAATAAAAGCATAAGTGTGAAAACTAAATGACACAGAAATCCCACATCCCAACAAAAGATCATAGCGGTATCTAGAGGTCAACATACGGTTCATTATGATTGACTATTGCTTAACACGTATTCAGTCTTAACTGACAATGGTCTTTCCATTTTTACTTGTTATTTCTTCAATCTGGACTCGCATACAAAAATGAAGTCGGATCATGAAAATATTAACTAAAATGTGGAAACTAAGATACTTTTATGTTGGTTCGGATAGAAAGAAGCGTTAAACAGCTTGTGATAGACCGAAGTGCACGTTTATATAACATTTTGTAAAAGTATAGTGCAGTGTAAGGTGAGTAACTCAAACTGATCATATGCAACTAGGTGGACATTTAAATTTATTATACTTCATGTCAAAATGCCAGATTTTGATTGGTTAATACGAGGGAGACAATTTACTCTATTCTATGGCAAATACTCTATAACCCTTCACGGAGACGCTTGATCAAGTGTGCGCTTTATTAAATACGGATGGTTGTTATGTACAAGACGTCATAGTTTATTACTTTGAATTTGAAATTTAATAGACAGTAATAACAGAACATTCAGTATAATAAATTAAATAACACATATCTGAGAGGATGATAGAGCAGATTGTTACCCCTCGAAATGACATTGTCAACCTTGGCTTCGCCTCAGTTGACAATGTTTTCTCGGGGAAACAATCTGCTCTATCACCCTCTCAGCTATGTGTATTTATATAGAAATAAATCAATTCAGAAAAATCAGAAAAATCAAATGAATATGAGATCACAAGCGTCTTATATTAAAGATAGAAATATCGAATTCAAAATTATTATCTAATTTCCATCGACTAGATCTAAATTTCCCGTTTGCACTCACTTGAAATTGTAATGTGTTCTTTCTTAATGTTTTTTTCTGAATTGTTTTTATATATACATATATATATTATTATTTGACTTTGAACTCTTGCTGAGATAAATAGGCCCATGAAAGCCAATGTACCGCAGTTTATGTTTGAACAGAATAGCCTATCTTTAAAAGTATCAAAATGATATTAAAAATTTAAATGTTTATACAAAGATTCTAAATAGATTTAATGTTATGTGTTAAAACTATAAGGGAATCAATTTAACAGCACAGAATAGACTTTTAGTAGCATCTATCGAGTATGTTGCTGAATATAAATTTTTGCAAAAACTCAATATGTGTAAACATGCAAAATAAGGCTCACATCTTCAATGTGTAAAAAAAACCAGGCCTCACCCTGAAAAACAACCTTACTACTAGAGCATGAAATGGAGGTCAGTGTCATAATACACGTCATACGGACATGTTTACACTTCTCAATCCACATATCGTGTTTGACCTATACTTACCGAGGAACAAACCTCATATTGAAAACTTACCCGGTCAGCTGCAGTATATAACATACGTTAGACGGACTTCTCACATCTAAATGTTGTTGTCCCTTCATCAGCATGTATCGCCGCGATAGAGTCTTTTTGTACTGATGTGGCGTAAAGCAATCAACCATCAATCAATCAATCAATCATCATCATGTATAGTTACTACGGAACATACCTCATTATAAAATCTTATCCTCACCATTCCGGAGCGAAATGGGGTCGTGTGTTCGTACTTTATGTGGCCTTTTTAACTTTTTTGATTCGAGCGTCACTGATGACTCTTTTGTAGACGAAACACGCGCCTGGCGTACAAAATTTTAATCCTGTTATCTTAGGCTAGGAGTTAATTTACTTCTGGGTCGATGCCATTGTTGGTAGGGGATTCCTCCAGGAGGGTCTCACCAGCCTAGTAGTCAGCACTTCTGTGTTGACAGGAATTATTGATATGGTCATAATTATAAATTGACTGTTCATAAAAATTTAGAATGTTCTACCCCAGAAATAGATCACCTTAAATGTATTTGGCAACACAATTCGGAATTTTGGTTCCTTAATGCTCTTCAACTTCGTTCTTTATTTTGCCTTTTTAACTTGATTCGAGCGTCACTGACGAGACTTTTGTAGATGAAACGCACGTCTGGCGTACATAGTTTATATTGATGACCAATACATACCCTGGTCGACTTAACATCTTTCTAAATGGCTAAATGATATATGAAAAACATATATATATATTTACTCCTCAAAACAAATACTATAATCCTATCATTGAATGACCACTGACGGCCATATGCCAGGAAGACACATATGATATATTATCTAGCCATATCTTTTCGTTTTTTAATTGTTATTTTAAAATAGAATAAATAGGGAATGTGTCCATGGGACGATGCCCCCGCTTGCATATCAAATAAAGTTATAAAAGGACATAACTGAAGAACGGTAAAAGTGACGCTACCCAAATTTGTACTTGATCTGAGTTTTGTGGTAATAAGTATTGTGTATAAGTTTCATAACATTTGGTTGAGGCAAACTTAAGAGAACGGAAACGAAAAATTCAGCAATTTTTCCATTTGCAAAGGGGTATAACTCTAGAACAGTAAAAGTGACACCACCAAAATTCAAACTTGATCTGTATTTTGTGGTAATAAGTATTGTGTATAAGTTTCATAACATTTGGTTGAGGCAAACTTAAGTTAGAGAACGGAAACCAACTTTGGGACGTACGGACGGACAAGGGTAAAACTTAATGCCCCCTCCACTACGGCGGGGGCATAATTAGGAATTGATGGCAGTTCTTTGCTTTTCTGTATCGTTTATTCACATGTTCATCAATTTTTAAACTTGTGATGACTAAGAACTTGACATATTGTAAAGACACTGATCTACGGTTGACCTCTAGATGTATATTTTGGTTATTTCTGTCTCATTGTCATAGGACTGAAATCTCCTTTTATTTATATATACTCCTCACAGCCAATACTAGCTAGAGTATATTTTGTCAATCCTGAATCTGAACACCTAATTTTAATAGCATAATATTGGTATGTTAGGGAACTATGTTATTTTGTTTACAATGTTAACTTTGATAGACAAAAAATAACAAAGAAGCAAAGTCTACTTGTCACATTTCCATCATGTATTTTTTTTGTTTGGGCATATTTTTCTGACTAGGAGCTGACCAGTCTTTGCTGATGTGGTTTGTGGAGAAAAAGCAAATACCAATTATCCAGTCTTTGGTTTGACCCTGCCAGGAATCAACATGTGAACTCCCATACTCAATGCAATCAAGCTATCACGAGACCTAGACCGCTTTGACAGTTACCTAATATGATCTAACATGTGCGTGTCAAGTCTTTATGTCCCAATATGACTGTGACCTCTATAAAGCATTGATGGAAGGATAAAAGTTAGTTTTCAGTGGGAAATCTTTCAACTTTTATCAGGACATCAACATGTACACATGGTTGAAAATGTAGAAGAAAGCAAGATTTTAATCTGCTAGCTTGCAAGATAACCGTCTGCAAGTACACAACACATCTTACCAGACAGTATTCTGTCTCAGGTGTCAAGTTTTTGTTTTTTTTCCTCCTAAATACAGTGAAACTCAGACAATGTGAGAAAAAATCATCTAAAATGAAACATGATTACTTCAAAAATAACAATTTCCTGTTGAGCAAAAGAACAAGACATAAATCAAGTGAAAACAAATTTTATTTCCTATTGATCCCAAAATGTGAGTAACTACTACTGTCTGATATATCAAAGGAAACAAGCTGGTATTAGCAACCCATACCGACGTGATTACTACGCTTTGTCGAAAATATTGCACACGATTAATACAAAATGATTAATGACGGAGTACACGATAATTAGGTACTTAATTACAAATATATAACTGTATATATCAACAATCAGAGAAAAGGTTGGCAATACAATTTATTTGAGTTACAAGAGGAAAATATGGTTCAAAATGATCTTATTATCCCTTATTTAATTTCTCCCATTACTAAACCAAATATTTGTTCCCTTTTTTTTTCTTTTAATCCAATTTTTTTTAAAACTTAAATCGTTTCCTTTATTCTATAAGTAGAATTCTAAAATAAATTTCAAATTAACTTTAACCTAAATTGTAAAATTCAACATTTCTAACAAATAAAATGCTATAGAAACATCACTAATATCCAATTAATTCAATTCATTGAAAAATAAAAAATATTGAGTTTTTCTTAGGCTGACCAATTTTTCTCCTGTGTGTGGGATCAAAACATAAAGCATAAAATCTATATAATGCTGATCACAAGTGTGGGCAAAGAGACAATCAACTACATACCCGCTGTAACGTGGTAAGGGGAGTACAATGAGATATGGCAATCACATGATAAAAGGGGGAGTAAGTAGCGTGAAACCGTTCAAACAAACTGACTAGACGATTATTACAGATAAAACCATTAAAAATATTAAAATAAGATTAAAATAATGATTAAAAATGTGCTCCCATATTGGCTACACTCTGGGTTTCATCAATGATAAATACAAAATGCATCAATATTAAGAATGATAATGCCTCTGTGAAAAGGGTATGGCAGTGAACTTGTGAAATGATAAATTCATTTGTATTTAAAAAAAAAATTCAAACAAAACTTTGGAAATACTTTTTAGTTAACTAATTTCAAGATTTGTACTTTCCAAAATTTCCGATTAACAAAAACAATTTTTAAAACTGAAGTAAATTTACTCAATTAATGCTTACTATCAAACTTTTAACAAACACTTAAACATAACTTTTACCATGAAATTTTAATTTTTTTTTTGGCAAACAAGTTGATTGCCACAAGATAACTTTTTTCTTTTGAAAGAACATTTTTATACAAATACAAGTCAACAATATAAAGATCCAACAATATATCTTAGCTGCCTTTGGTGGCAGGGGTCCACACTAGTATCCTACAACTTCTATCTTATTTGTAGATCAGAATGAACAATCCCTTGTAAACAACCCTTATTATGAACTCTGGGAAATGAATACTGTAAAGTATCTGAACCCCGATAATCTGAACTAAACTAGAAATTAACAGTTTTAAATTATAGCACACAATACAGCTAGTCAACATATAATTCAAAACCAATAAAACTATATTGGAAAGAAATTAGAACACTTAACTTACTTAAAAAAAAAAAAAACATCTGAGAAAAGTCATCAATATTGCAGAATCTAATTCATATTCAGTTTCCATCAAGTCCAAGTGTCTGCAAGATTTTTTTTCTAAAATTCAAACTGTCAGAAACAGCAAAAAATTAAATTTTAATTTTTTTCTAAAAGGAACTGTTTAATGAGCAGAAAATTTAATGTACCCCAATTATTATCCATGTACAAAAGAAGTCAGTAAATTTTATTATTCATATTAAATTTAGCCATTGTGAACTATATGTTGACCAGCTGTAGCCATTCAATACATTTTTCAATCCGGGGCACCAAAAGGTCAATACAAAAAAGCACTAGACATGGAATGTATCAAAGCCATCTTGAAAGACAACCAGAGTGTGCCTCATCAAAACTATGTGGTAAAATAATGACTGATGATTACTATAGATACATATTGTCATTGGTTCAAAAATTGATTCTAAAAATGGTACACATTTACATGCTCTTTAAATTCAATAAGTTTGGTAAGTTAGATTTTCTTTTAAATAAATTCATCTCTTTGCAATGCAGTTGCTATATTGAAGGTATTACAAGACAATCCATTTCAGTGACAACACCAAATCGTTAAAATAAGTTACTTTATTATCCCTCAAATATTAAAACACTTTTTTCTCTTTTTATACGCAATGTATTGATTGTTTAGAAAATCATTCAAAAAGATAAGTATTTGTTTGTCTGATCCATTCAGAAAGCTAAAATCTCAGAGTACTTAAAATTTAAATTTGGTATCAAAATAATACACCAATCTGCATTCTCAATTATCTATTACTCAGCATTAAAACATATCACCATCATGATATTACAGTACCAACTTTCATAAAACAATTCTTAAACAAATGACTCTATAAAAATATTTCTAATGATAAAAGCCTAACTTAATGATTAATTATGAGATCATACTCTGAATAACAAAGCTAAAAACACACACTATGATACAAAAATATTATCACACATGCTCACACACAAGTGAAATCTACAAGCTCCTACTGACATCTACATCTTATGAATAATAATAATAATAATAATAATAATGATAATAATAATAAAATAATGTTAAAATAAAAAGACTAATAGGTTAATTGAACACAAAACTTCATTCCAGTAAAAATGTTAAAAATGCCATCAACACGGTATAATACATCATAACTAACATTTACAGTGATTCTATGTCAAGTTTTGAAATTACTAATAAGCTATCCAAGAAAAAAAAAAAAATTTCATTTGGCTTCATTCATGAAGAATATTTGGGTCAATGTTTTAACTAGAAAGAAATCCAACGTATTCCTTGACAGATCTCTAAAGGCCATTTTCCATTTTCATACTTAATTCACTTAATCAAATTTGCATAAATTTAATGCTAACAAGCTTGAATAAGATTTCTTTCTTCAGTTTTTCTTAAAATCTGGTAAATGCTTGGTCTTGCAAAAAAAAAAGAGATAATCATCTAAATACGGAACAGTCATAAATGCAAGAAGATAATGGCAAGTTAATATTTCCTGGCTTAGAGGGTAACATTTTCTTCTATTTTTTGCAAGATTTAAGTAGTCAACTGTGTATTCCTTTACTTTAATATAAACATCAAAGGGAGGTAATAACAATTTATCTTTTATTGGCGAACAATAGATTTCCTTCGACAATGGAAGTACTTGGTTAACAAAATAAACCAAACATAAAATCACTGTAAAAATATCAATCTAATCGATACACATTATATCATATTTCAGAAAAATATCTACTTAAGGGGCAAAAATAAAGTAAAATAGATTAAATGACTATGTCAAACTAAATTTACAGATATATTTATATATATATAAGTTTAATACTTGTCTGTGTAATCTCAAGCTACCTTTATATCAAATTAGTTATTAAAATAATTTAGATAATTAAGTTTTTGTTTGTTTATCCACTACAGTGTGTCTGGCTATGCTTATGTTGATTATTTCTTTGACATCACGAGACAGAAAATACGAGACTTAGAATCATCTAACTATGAAAGGAGAGTCTAAAAATGATGACAACAATACTTTAAGTCTCTGTTTAAAATATATGAAGCTAACTCTTTAGGAAGAAGCAAGAAAAGCACCCACTAACGATGAAAAATAAATTTTCCGAATATCAATTTATAGAAGCCTAACAAAAATGAACAAAAACCAAACCAAACAAAATAAATTGTACTGACCTAAACTGAATATAATATGACTTTTTCTCAGTTTTTGATTATCACATGAGCAAGTATTTATTCACAACATTCTAATTCATTGCATATACTCCATATCTTCATGAAAATACCAATATTTAACTGCTTTGACATTACTCTGAGAAATATTATATGACTATTACATATTTTCCAACATTACATCTACTTTTGATATTTTCTACAAATTTTATAACCTAGCTTCAACATTTCATATTTCTGTCATTCTCTCTATTTTGATCAATTTTTCCAACAAATGATTAAAAAAAAAAATAATAATAATCCATGTGTCTACGATCCCACCACAAATCTATGTTTGACAACTACCCTGAGTAATTATACTTTATTTTCAAAGCATGCTATATGTACTAAATATAAAACTCTATGGCATGATACCCCCAAAAACTACTATTGCAAAAAAAATCCAAATGTACCAAAATGGGTAATGTTGAAAATTACAAACTACATGCACAAGAATTAAAAAACACAAAAAACTTCAACCATTCACCACATCAACAGAATTAAAAAAATTCTTCAAACATTCGAAACTAACTTGAATAAATACCATTAAACTATTAAATATGTGCTAAGATTAAATAGAATAAAAAAACTAAACTTGATTTAAAACTTTCTGTTAGATCATTGTTATTTCTGTCCAAAGGAACAGATAGCTTTGATTAATTCTATAGTTTTGGAAGATAACAGTCCTTTTTTAATCTAATTTTCCAATCATCCAAAGTCACAACCCACAACACTAAAATAACTTCATGCATTTTTTGCTATTTTCCTATTAAACACTTGATTTGAAAAATTTAAGAATTAAAGTCCCTTTGATTTAACTCCTATTTCAATTTCATCATCCCGAATTCTTGAAACCAAACGGCTCTGGATACAAATAAGATGAATTTGATATGTAATTCTACACGGTCTGATGACTTCTAGCACCACTAATATCACACCACGATACCAAACAGAAAGTTCTAAACGTCTATAACAATACGATATAAATAACAAGTGCACCAGTTGATAAAAAAATCTACACGTAATGCTGAATATACAAGGCAATAGAATACACATGGTAAATGATGATTACAAATGATTGGTGTACAGACCATATCTATACAAGATGTTTGGTAACAAGCAATCCATCCTTAAAGCCATTTGAAATTTAATTACCTTACTATTCACTAAATCATAATTTGAAAACTTCACAAAATGACAAAGTTCAATCTATTGATCTTTAAAAGACCCTAAATATGCATCATGAATTTTTATTCAAATGCAACCCTTATTGAATAATGCCTAACAACTTTAAAAATACCAACTTTAAGATTGCTGAAATTAATCAAGTCTGCTATTTTAGTTTCCTTTAGCATTGAATTTAAGCATGTTGTCAGAACATCTTGCATATTTGGTCCAAAAAAACACTTAGTTCACATGGAAATGGATTGAAAGACACTATAAATACTGGCAACATGTGAGGTGATATATGTATCAAAACTTATGAAAAAAAACACGTCAGACAGACTGGCTGTAACTTTTAAATGGACATTTAAATGCTTTCTTTAAGAAAGAATACATCTTAATTTCTTTTCTTACAGGTGACATTACGCTTGAACTCATTTTTCTCTCCAGACAACAAGCAAAAGTACTCTGTTTCCAAGTTACTTATTTCTAATCAATTTTTTTTCCACTAAGGAAGAAAATGTACATGTTGATGTTTATTTAGTCTCATTTTTAACTCTTATTCAGTTAAAGAGTTCTTCCACTAGACAAAGTCCAAGAAACAACCACTCTGTTGACAGATCTGTGATGTTTTGATGTAGTAACTATGCAAATCTTGAGTATCACAATAAATCGGTGCATAAACAACATGACAACTCGACTGGAAGTTGTTAAAGATTACAGTTAACACATGGCCACTACACACAATTAAAATACATCTACTTTTTACAAAAAATACCATTTTGTCCGTCTCCAAAGTCAAATCAACTTTCTACTATATATACTGAACAATTATTTACAGGGAGACATTTAATTACAATAATAATCATAGTACTAACAGTTTTGTATTAGCATATTGCTCTAATGCAATATATCCTTTATAACTGATTAGTATTTCTCCTTTTATAATTGTACTGAGGCTAACAAAAATATATATATATTTATCAATATAATGTTTTCTTGCTATACATTTAGATGAAAGTGAGTAAAAATGGCACCATATATAAAACAAATCTACATGATTAGTTTGATAAATACACACACAGACACACAACATGTACAAATTTGTTACCTTATTTCATTTCAATAAATTTGTGCACCAAAATCTGAACTAAATTCCTTATTTACATCTTATCAGAATTCTATGTACAATTACTTCCCTAAAAACTTCATTCGTTTTCTACTCAAATGCTACTACATCTCATTCTGTAGAAAAATATTTTCACTTCATTTGTATTTATCATGTTTATATAGAAAATATTTGACAATTTATAGCCCTTATTAAAAATTCTTTGGCAAATCACAGATCATGTTACTTAAGGGCTAACACTTAAAATAAAAATATTAACAAATCAAATTTATCAAGTGGCACAATTTTATTGCTGTGGAAATTAAATGTATATCTTTTCCAAGTCCAGCACATCTTTTTGAAATTCCTGTAGAATATTTGCATATAACTATACCCTGTCCTTGCAGGGATATATTGTGATTCCACTCGAGAAGCAAACACTTGTGGCCACACCAGTTGTCTCCATATCTGATTAAAATTGTCGAAAATATCTCATTCTTCTTGCAAAAATTTATGGAGACATATTTGAAGGCACTACCATTTACTTATGAGCAACAGACTGATTTCGTCAACAACAAAAATACTGCAGAACACCATTATATGTACAACTTCTCCTTAGTACTGTTGTGCTTTTCTATCTATTACACTAGCATAAGCCTCAAATTATCACATTTGTATTCATTTCATTTCCTCATTAATTAGTTCAATTTTCAATGTACAAATTTTCTCATCTTATAAATGACCAAGAATTAAAAATTTAATTTTTACAAAATCATTAGAGTTTTATAATGACAATACTTATTTTTATATATTTATACACCTATAGCCAGGGTTCCTATAAATAGTGTTTTTTTAATCTAAATCACACCTCTGAGACAAACTGTAAACACAGCAATAAAAATGTTGCCCCTGAACTGTCTCAACAATGAAAGCCAATGTCTTCTTTATGTCTCTAATAAAAAATAGCCAAGGAGGAAAATAAAATTAACAGAACACTTCAACTACATTTAAATGCATTGGTGGAAACAATAAAACATGATAAAAATGCTGTAATAATAACAGTGTGCAATATGATAAAAACTAACATCCTACATGTACCACACTAAAAATACATAAAAAGCTCAAAATAAAACACCAAATGTTTTTTATATACTTAACAAAAACTGGTTGTACAATTTGAAAACATGGTATATCCTCTGAGATAATACTTTCTTGACTTTTAACTCCTTATAGTTACCACTGACCTCCATTCGCAAATATGTCATGCTTATTTGTGTCAATAACTTCCCTATTTGAAAAAAAAAAATAAAATCTAGAAACAATATTGTTATAATTACCTTTAGAAATTTCTAAATGAAAAATGACCAACTGCTTTTAACAGAGATGTGGGCAGAAAATCATTGAGAAAGAAAACCATGACAAAAAGAAAAGAAGAAGCATTTAACAAACACCACTTTTTTTAAAAATTGACAATTATTCATAGTAAGGAATGTAAAACAATGCTCTGGTTTGAATTTTTTTCTGCTATAATAAAAAATGCGAAATATTTACAATGAAATATGAAATTAAGCTGCACAAAAAAACCTTTATTGATCACCAAATAAGTTATTTCTGAACTTTAATTTTTCAATTATTTTGAATGATATAAAATTCTGGATAACCTATAATGTTTTCTGAAATAAATCCATGGCAAGAAAACACTGATAAAATGTTAATTTGGACAATATCATTTCCAATTACATACAACCAGTTTTTAAGTTGAAAATTGACAATTAAAATATGTTCAAACTATTATTAAAATTTACAACATTAACAAAATTCACATCACACTACTGAATAATTAACGATAAAAAAAGCTTCTGATTAAAAAAACCAAGCACTCTGTGCCGCCCTAAGTCTATATAGGAATGATATAGTTGCCACTTAGCACCAATGAAAACTACAAAGTCTATGAAAATTTACATGGAACATCACGCAAAATACTGAAAGGGTCTGCCCTTGTTTGGGCTTAGAGGATATGTAGCATAAAGTCCTGCTGATGCCGGATTCAAGCTCCCAAGACCACCATACTGTGAGGCCAACTGTGGCTGATACTGTACTGCTGGTATGGTGGAGCTCTGTAACACTGGATGAACATGAGCTGGCAGTGGGTGGGTGGTGTACTGGACATGTCGTGGACTCTGATGGGCAGGTGGAGGGGCAACAGTAGGTGAAAACGGTGCATATTGGCCCATTCCTGCAGGGATGGCAACTTGAGGTTGCTGATGAGCTGGCAACAGATAATGATGAACAGGGCTTCCTTGTAATGTTGGCTGTCTTCTGTAGTCTCTGAAATGAAAAATATTTAGCCACAAGTTATTATTAACAGAACAAACACCAATTTTTAGTTTTCAAGTTTTATATGGATCATATTTTTCTTTTCTTTCCTTTCAATATTTGTTTATTGAATTATCTATTTTAGATTTTTATAATACATGATAAATAGATAATTCAAGTACTTTATTTGAAGAATGAGATTTACATGAATTTTTCTAGCATTCCACAGGGTATAGCATTCAGACCCATTCCCAAAGGCAAAACCTCATCATATTTTGAGAGTAAAAATTCCCAAAGCGAACTCAAAATTTCAAACAGAAATAAATCTGGAAGTTTTCCTTACCCAAACTATGCCCTTCACTTTGAAAATGAAAAAGGCGGTATATCCTTATCACATGCACGCTTTAGGCTTTAGTCCGGTTTTTTGACACTAAAATAAATATTTTTAAATGTGTTTGCACAATAGCAAATACTATGTTCAGAAATTAAAAAGTTATGATGACTACAAATCCAGGGAAATTCTAAGCACAGGATTTTTAAAATTTTTTCCCAATACCATTGAAAATTGCATAAAAAAATTCCCAAAACTGCCCAAGGTCCTCTTTCTAAAGATACCCCCTCCAAAAAACTATTTGGAATTAGTCTTACCGATGTACTTCTAGTTGAGGTCCAGCATTGAGGAACACTGGCTGACCAAATGCTATTCCTGCCTGAACAGGTGACAGCTGATTTGTCCCTCCTGTAGAAAAGTTCAAATTACTTGGCTTATGCTTTTGTCCAAACAATGCACTGCTGTAAATGGCATTTGCAGCTGACAATTTTATTTGTGGATTTGGAACTGATCGCACAGTGGGTGACACATATGCCATTTTTCCATGAGTTGTCGTGTGTGGCATATCCAGTTCCAAAGGAGGCAATTTTACCTCTTGCTTAGGACTCCTACCTCCACGAAATCTATCAAAACTTGACATGGACGAAGATGAAGGGAGAGCCTCTTGTTTTGGCATGCTCACAAAAAACGGTGAAACTTTTGCCTGCTCACGTTTCTTAATTGGTTCTAGCAAGCCAGACAATTCTGGTGGCACAAATGAAATAGGATTACTAGAGTTCTGCAACTGCATGCCACTATATGGATATGATCTTAAACTATGTTGTGCCTCACTAAGTAATGATCTTTCAAGGTCTTCATGCTTGATTGGTGTCAAGTTAATTTGTTTCTTGAAATCTAAGTTGCTGTCTTCTAAGTCTGAATCTTGTATATCAGACACTAACAGATGACTCATATGATTTACTCTTGGTGAATCTAAAAGTTTAGAATATATACATTTTAACTTTTGAATGTTACATTGGAAAGACCTGCCATTATCATAAACTAAAAATTTTGTCATTTAATGTCACTATTCACTTTGTCTTTTACAATAATAGGCCACACTATATTTTTTCACCATATCCTTCAGTTTTAAGATTTGGCTGGTAAAATATTTTTTCTGCTTACATAAGTGATTAAAGTTCAGCAAATCTCATTATTTCAATATACTCATTTGCAACATAAAAAAATTCCTAGACAATGTAATCATACCTGCGAACTTTTGGTGTGTGACAACAATTTCAAAGGTTACAATTTTTTGCCAGTTTTTTTTAATATGCACGCTGTTTTGTGATCTAGAAAAAGTGTCATATTTTTATTATATGGTATACTGATGATGAGCTAATAAGCCTTTTTCTTCTTTTTATTTGCCTGATTCTAGTACTTATATCATTGTGTAGAAAACGTGAACATGTAGCTAGAATACCAGGATATATTTTCTTGTGTAAGAATATGATAGTGATTGTTGACTTTTCCAATTTAAAAATATGCACAAAGAAGGACATTTATCTGATTCCTTGTGAAAAATAAAAGATGTTAATTACAAGAATGACAACACAGTATGTTACAATAAGTGTAATGTACATAAGCTAGTATTTATTATGTTTATGGTAGTACTGCATCTTTGAATTTTGTCAATCAGCCATGTTTTCCTTCTTAAGCTGTGTAAGAACATTCTTGCAGATGAAAATCAATCTGCCACGATCACGATTTTTACAATTCTGACATACAGACAGAGAGATACAACTCAAATGTTACAAACAAGTTCAAAATTTAACATGTTTGCAATGCACAATAATAATGAGAAACAACGATTTTGATTGACAATTGTCTCTTGGGAAAAGTTCAAAATTGGGAACAATCATTTTTTTTTCGTGTAGAATAACACAAAATCTTGTTTTAAGAGTTTTTTTTCACGATTACGATCGTGCAATCGTAACAGGGGGTCAAAATCATATAGTTCACGCCTAAATCGTGAAAGTTGGCAGGTATGTGTAATAAATATTTTAAACGGTATGTGATTGTGTGTGTGGCTGATTGGTATGGTGTTGACAAGCTATCTTTTTTCATTTCAATGAAGATTTTTGAATGTTTACATATGATGTTTGTGTATTTGATCATTCCTATACTGTTAAACTTACCTGAAACACCCACTGACCCAAACAAGTTCCCATCCAATGTCTTCGGATCCAGATAACTATTTCTATTATGATGATGATGGTGATGATGACCCCTGATATAAATATAACATGCATCATATCAGAAATTCACATTATTATATCTACCTTAATTTTCTAAACGATTCATCCAGGCTTTTTGATAAAATGGATTTATATCATAGACTTTTTTTCATAATATGATAAAGACGTGTATGTGTGTGGTTCAAAACTATTTCAAATATAATCTCTTTCACCTTCTAGTGGTGATTTAAGTAATAACAATAATGTAGGATGAATTTCAACTACTGCTTTAGCATTATAGATAAATCAAAGCACTTGTGAGCACTAAGGGTAAAGATTGCTTTCATTTTGCATTGTGAACTGCATTGTGTTAAGCAATGGAACAAATTAAGGCAATATCTTGAATTGGTATCTATCTTCCTATGTCCATAAATGTAGGTGAAACAGATAGATTCATACTCTTTCTGCAACTTCCGTAAATTTTTCTTACAAAATTGTTTTCTTGGTTAAGTATGGTTTATAAATACACATACACATAAACTTGTAACTTGAATATCTGAGTATATATCATTAAATTGTCTGACTGGGCATTTGTTAGGATCTAAATAATGTTCACCTTACTGTAGTGTGTTAGTAAGGCAGAGACTAGGCTCTGGAATATAGTTCAATGTAGCTGTCAAGTATATACCAAAAATGACCAATAACTGCTCTGTTATTAAGTTTATTGACCTACCTTCTGTGATGTTTTCCCTCACCATCATCTTCACTATCAGAACTAATGGTGATTATACTATGGGCAGGGCTGGGAGTGTCAGCTATCACTATAGTCTGACGTTCTCTCCCTGGCCGCCCAGGTATGTGAGTACTGTTTCCGTTGGTCCAATCACACAAAAGGGCAGCTTCTTGTTGCAACAAGGTATCTGGAGGAGTATTTTCTTTCACTCTCTTCTTCACTGGTGAAAGATGAGTTGATGTAGGCTCTTTAACATAACTTCGACTATAAAGAAAGATAAATACTTTCACATCATATTGCAATGTTATAATCATATAAAACATTCTTATCATGTATGAAATGAATACATGATTCTTAGTGACCTAAATCGTGGAGGTATTATTTTATGGAATAGCAATCTCAAAAGACATTTTGAGGTCAACATCTTCTTTAACAATACATAATTATTGGCCAATATCTAAATAATCAAAAGTCTACAAAAGTGGTAAATAAAATAAAGAGACTACAAGAGATCTACCATCAACTTTATATTCCCTTAGACAGACAAATTCAAGTAAAATACAAAACAACCACTGATGAGATATCTGATTCAGGATAGGACCATGAGCATGCTTCAGGGTTTAACAACTTTTTTTTAGCACTCAACCCTGTTTTTTTTTGTATGGTTTTACTTTGTAAATCTGTCCCTTTTGCTGATGAATGGATAACACTTCTATGTAAATTAAATCCTATCTGTTGTTTGGTTTAACTGTTAAAACCTGTAAATTTTGCTTTTAATTGTTAACACTTTATGTTAATTTAAATAAAAATGTTGTTAACACTTTGTTAATTTAAATAAAAATTCGTAAGGGTTCCGCGGAACCCAGTGTCTCGCCTACTTTTTCTGTTAATTGCAGGCTCAACAAAAATGAGGAAGTAAATCAATAAAAATATTCCACTTGATACTATCTTTTGATTGGTACAAACCCAGGATAGTTTAAGAAAGTTAAAATTTTAAAAACTTTAACCACAGAGTGAATATGTTGTTTCCCGGCAGAAAAACTAAGTCCATTTATAAGTAAAATATGGAAAAAATGTAATTTTATTTTTACAAAATTTACTTCTGGATACTATCTTGTGATCATAAACAAGCTTCTATCCAAGTTTGGTAGAAATCCAGGATAGTTTAAGAAAGTTATTAAAATTTCAAAAACTTTAACCACAGAGTGAATATTTGTGGGCGCCGCCGACAACAACGCTGACGAAATGTAGGATCGCTATGTCTCGCTTTTTCGACTAAAGTCGAAGGCTCGACAAAAATGTTAACACTTTATGTTAATTTAAATAAAAATGTTAAGTCTAGAACTAGGAACAAAACAGACGATACCAAGGACTCTTTTACTTTTCCATTAAACAACACACACAAGGAACTTATATCCATCTTGATATCAGGCATCAGAACAATTCTCAGATGAAACTTTTTGAAGGCCACATTTTAACAAAAAAATGATGGTTATCTATCTTCATAGAGACCTTTTGACTGATCTAATGATTATCTTTCCTATATTACCTTTGTTTCCTTTGCATCTTGTTAGAAATATCATTATTTCTGTTGTATGGATTTGACATCATCTGTAAATGTTGGTTCTGTACTGCCTACAATAAACATTTCATTTTTACATAAAGCTTCGATGACTTACACACATATATAATGTCCAAAAAGATGCAGAATAGATTAATAAATCATAACCATATAACCTGGTAGAACTATTATTCCAGTCGTCTTATCAATATCCACCATGTTTTCATCAACATTTTTTGCTAAGGATGGAATGACTTTTGGAGTGGTGTTCTTTTACTTCAAAGTATAATGATACAATGGATTTGAAACAGAATAATAAGTATATCTATTACTTGCTGTTTTCACACACAACATAATCATAATAAACAGTGTGTGTGTGTGTACTGTTAAAATTTGACAAAAATTATTTCTGGAAATTTTAGGAATAACATAAGATTTGTGGCAAATCTAAGTGTGTTACACATACATTTGTGGCATACAAAAATATATTTTGCATAGATTTGTGGCATATCTAATTATGATTCACATAATTTGTGGCATATTTAATTATGTTTTGCATAGATATGTGGCATATCTAAGTATGTTTTGCATAGATATGTGGCATATTTAAGTATGTCACTTGTGGATCTGTAATACACATCTTTGGCCCTTTAATTCTGATAGCACTTACTGTTTCATTCAACATTGCAGCAAGTGGACCATGCTCAAAACCATCCAGGACCAAAGACTGTCTCCAACTCTCCTGTAAGGACTGTGATGCTAGAGTGTCTGCTAAAAGAGGCTGTTGGACTGACCTCTGTTGAGGTAGGCCTAACTGCTGCCATGAGCCTACCAAAACTGGCTGTCCTCCAGGCCAGGAGTTTCCTGGTGCAGTCTACAAAATAAACATACATTTCAATGTGAAATCTGTTCAATTTCAATGTTAAGTCTTCTTTGACCCTATTTTTATGACCCTTGAATTTTAAATACTAAAATATGAAAAATTTCTGCAATGAGTTTATTTTAGCTAATGCATAATAAAATGCTTCGCTGAGCGCAGCCTGATACAACCGCAGAGGTCGAACTATGAACAGTTTGGGCAAATTTGGACACAATATTCAAGCTTGATACTGTCTGAATTTGGATTGTGATCAAATTTTTGACATAATATAGGTTTCTGACACAAAATAAATGTGGTCAAAGATCTTACAAATCTATTGCGCAATACTGTGCAATTGAAGATTTCTTCTTGAAACTTTTCAAAAATTCGAAATTTGAAAAATTTTGAAAAAAAAATATGAATCCCTTAAAAAAATTGGGAAAAAAAATCCCCCCCCCCCCCAACTTTTCGAAACCCCCCTTGGAGCAATAACCCCAAAACTCAATCCCAGCCTTTCCTTTGTAGTATGGAACATTGTAGTACAATTTCAGAAAGATCCATACACTTAAACACAAGTTATTGTCTGGAAACTAAAAAAATGCTTGTTTTTGGCCCTTTTTTGGCCCCTAATTCCTCCATGTTTGGGGCAAATAACCCCAAACACAATCACAGCATTCCCTTTGTTATATGGAACCTTGTGGTACAATGTCAGAGAGATCCATACACTAACACACAAGTTATTGTCTGGAAACTACAAAAATGCTTGTTTTTGGCCCCATTTTGGCCCTTAATTCCTAAACTGTTGGCCCCATAACCACTAAAATGGATCCCAACCTTCTACTTGTGGTATTAAACATTGTGGTACAATTTCAGAGCAATCGAAATACTTATACACAAGTTATTATCCTGAAACTAGAAAAATGCTTGTTTTGGGCCCCTTTTTCCTAAACGGTTCGGACCATCATCCCCAAAATCAATCAATGTTGTCGTATAAAAACAATTCCAATAACATCCCTTTGCACAAATTTTTCTGTAAATTTTGTTATTAGGGAAAATCAGTTTAATTGAGGGCAAGAAAAACATGAAATAAAACTAGCAAACAGGTTTATCCCCAGAAATAGTAAAATCTAAACTCTGCAATGATGAACAACTTTACAGTAGACATCTAAAAAAAAAATAAATGTAGATATGAAAGGTAAAAAAATGTTGATAATAGTTGCAATGAATTTTGTTTTAATGTTGCATTTTAGATTTTTTCTTTTTAAATATCAGCATCCTGTTCACTACATTTAAGGATGTACTTTGGTGAGGTTTAGGAATTTGTGTCAGATCTTCAGACTCCTTGGTTTTTTTCCTTCAATACAGGGCAACATATTTTCCCCATAACACCCATTTTCTTTTCATATAAGACTTCAATAGCTCATAAAAGGTCACTTTCAAAATTTAAGCAGATTCTAGATTTCTTTTCTTCGATTTGAGACCCAAATAATACCAATGCAAATATAAGGTAAAAGTCTGAGTTAGCCTTTTCTCACCATTTTCAAAAAAAATTAAATATCTCGAAAAGGAGCTCCATAACCTATCAATATTTTTTTGCTTATTTTGATCCTTAACTAATGCTCTTTTGACTTATAGTACCAATTTTAAATTCTATAGATTTTTTTTAATTTCACCTAAATACATCCTTAACTAACAGTTGACATCCTACCTGTGTTATTAACTGTGGTTGTAACTGTAAGGCTGGTGCTTGTGTAACCATTGGAATTGGATTGTATCTTGTTGGAGAACTCAATCCTGAAAATAATAAACAATACCTTTCAGGTCAATTTCTTTTGATCTTTTTATACACTCATAGTCTCATAGCTTTTAAACATAATTTGAAGTTCAACGATTTTCTAAAATTGAAACTATCACTAACTGGGATTATTATATAAAAATAATGGTAGTCTGGAAGCCATCAATATTATTACACATTTTAATTTGTTGCATGCAGTTTTAATGAAGTCAAATATCTAGATGCTTAGAATTGTCACTTAATAGATTTATAAGATCCAATACTCTTCTTCCAAAAACAAATTAACTTAGCTTTTAGCTAGAGTTGTCTTTCTTGGCATTCCAATTCCATAAAATATTCAGTAAATTGGTTATTTAAGACAACTATGTTTTATATAAGGCCTTATTCCATGGTAAAAAGTTGATACTGTTAATTGAACTAAAACTAACTGACTAAGCAATTGTCTCTAAATAATTAACATTGTTTCCTTTCATTTCTATAAAAAGTAATAGAATTACATACCCTGTATACCAGGAACAACTATAGAAGAAACATGTATAAATGGATCAGTTCTGTTGAACTGGTTACTATTCCTAGGTGCTGTGAGCTGTGGATTGAGTGACTGTTGTGTAGGTTGGTATGGTATATATGGACGAGACTGTAGAGGGTACGGCAAGTACTGAAGTTCTGTTCCCTGATGTTGTGCAGTCATGTTTTGTGATGCCATCTACAATTAGTATTTAGATTCATTAATAATCTTTATTTTTAAAGAATCAACAAACTAAAACCATTAAACAGTTTTAGAAACTTCAAATTTCTTTCTGATTGACATTGAAGTCAGAAAACAAAATGTGGCACTACAGTAATTCTGAAAATTTTCACAAGACATTTCACAACAAAATTAACTCTTTCATTGTTAATTCAAAGGCCAAGAGAAGCGAATAATGACAAGAGCAAAGATTTATCTGCCACATCTAAGGCCCAAACCATTAACAAAACCTTATATACAAAAACACTTCCCCCCTCCCCCCCATTTCGAATCGACCAAGAAACTTAAATGAAAAAAGTATAAGAAACCCTTTTCTAAGGCAAGGCAAATCACAATTTCATAGCTTATTAAAATTAAATATAAAGCAATTTTTAGCAGTAATCACTACAGTTTTACAAATGCTCAAGAAAAATAATATAATTTATAATGTCTCTGTTGTTTAGCCCCATACCTGTGAATGTAAAGCATTGATCTGGTTGTTAAATGTAACAGTCAGACTACTGGTAGTAGCTGGTACAAAGTTTGACATCAGTCCACTGTTCTGATTCACATCAAACAAGTTCTTTACAGACTTTCTACAGATCTCCATTGCTGACACACTCTGCTTCACTCTGTAACAAAGCGATGTTCATGGTTAAAATATATATTTTTTATATATAGAAGTGTCTTAAAACACTTATATTTGTGCATAAGGTCTGTTTGATTCAAACATTCACAGTACAAGAGTTCGGTATTTTTGAATTTGCCAGAATTTTTGTACGAATGGCGGATTGATCAAATGATAGTGGTCATAATATTGAAGGATATAGAGTAACATATTCCATCTTACTTTTATATAATAGAGAATTTCAAATTTTAAAGGATGAGGTCAAAATTAATGAATGGGGGTACCACACCATATAAACCCTTTGGGGAAAACATGGAGCCCAGGAAAGCATTTTGAAATTAAGGTAAACACCTTTAGAGGCAATTCTAAGATTCCACTTTAATTTATACTGTAAAAGATAAGTTAAAAATGTGGATATCTACATTTGTAAGAGAACAGTTCGATTTTTTCTGACTATTCTGACTACAACTTTATAAGGTTGAGTAACAATTGATGCTTTAAAGATTCTAGTGTTACAACATTTACTTTTATCAGGGAATCAATTAATTTTATTTGAAGGATTTTTTTCTTGGTTTACTTTTGCCTCTCTGTAAAATACAAACATTTGTATATCAAAAGATAAACAATGAAATCACCTTAAGAATGGCATGCCTTTTTCCATAAAGAAAAATCTCAATGTGGGTTTTAAACCCGTTTAGAATTATTAATCTTCAAACAAACTTTTTATGTTTTGTTTAACTTGACTACTTCAGCTAATTCTTAAAGAAATTTAATACAGATATCTGTGTTTTATCTATTAAATATACTTGTGTAGTACTATACCCACTTTCCTCACAGGTTTATACTTAATGTGTTTTAAGACACTTCTAAAGCAATGAGGCAGGAGTGTAAACAGATTAAACAATAAACAGACATTCAAATTATGAATGTATATAAATGCCAAAATCTAATCTCAAACTTGGACTCCACTCAAGTAAATTAACTTATCATCATCATCTATCACTCAGTACACAGTGCATTTTTTACTTCAACTCAAACTTAATTAAATGATATTCGATGGTATTTTCCTACCAGTTAGAAGAAACTACTCACTTGCTACTATGAGCATACTCTATAAGATGTGCCATAGTTATAAATGGATGGTTGAGGGCTTCTCCTGGTGTGATTCTTCGATCTTGGTCCAATGTTAACATTCTCTTCAACAAATCAATGAATTCTTTTCTATCAATCTTCTCTGCCAACAGTTCACTGCCTTCTAAATCGGTGGGAACATTGATCTGGATCATGTCATCCAAACAATTGAAGATGTACTTTCTTGCTTCTTTTGACTTTATATTGGTTTCCTTTTCATGCTCCTCTGGTGTCTGAAAATCAACAATAATAAATTCCATATTTCTGGTAAAAGCCTTTACAGGCAATCTTTCTTCTTGCACTTCTCATTTTGGATCAGGTTTTCATAGAAGTATCTTTAAGGTTATTACATACAAAAGAAAATATAAGTTTAATTGTCTTCATTATAAACAAAATTCAGTTTATAATGATACTTGTTTCTAGGGGGTTTGGATAATCAATCACCCTTGAGAAAAATAAGAAAAACTAAAATATTATTTAAAGATTATCAAGTCAACAATCATACTGAAGTTAGACTAATAAAGCTAGAGCATCTTGACCCCAAATAACCCTCAGAGACATCCTGGCTACAAGCCTGATAATCTGTATGAAATGGATGATGAATTCATTAAGCATTTGGCATTTTTCTTCCTGCAGAACACATTTATATGCAAGATCAACACAACCTTTCTTTCCCATTACTTTTACCCCCAAGCAGATGTTAGATTTTCATTATGAGGAATCACTTATATTGCTATATAGTATTTCAATAAGCCAGAAATATTGAATCAATTTTACATACAAGTACATTGTTATATAACCTGCTGTATTTCATATTTTACATATTAAATCAGTTGTCAGCAATAAATGTGGACCACTTATTTCTTTACATTTTAATCAGCTGTCAGCATTTTGGCAGAGATATAGTTTCCTTTACATAACATAGATCTACACTACCATTGTACATTATGTCAGAATTGTTTTCATTGTACAATACAAGGATTACGTCAGGGATGGTTTTACTCAACAATAACGGGCAGTTCAACGGTCTGTATATGGATTTTCCTGACGAGTTGTGTAAGCCCATACCAGACACCCACTTCGTATTTCACAGCATCAATAATCTACTTGTCAACGCTGATAAAAAATCAATACAAGACAGATTCGGTAGCCGTTCTGTCACATTATATTCAGGCCATATGTATAGGGACTAAATTTAACAACCTCTATTTGCATGTATATCATGTTAACAGTATGCTATATCAGATACATGTACCTTGCATGTTATTTCCTACAGCTGTTTTTAGTTTGAACATGTACATTCACAAATAATACCATATAGCCTAAAACACCTGTATTAGGTGACCCTTAAAATAGAATCAAGTTGGAGGTTTTTCATGTCAAATAAGACATTTCTTTATAACATTTTATTTCATGTGGCTAGCTAGATAATTAATAGGAAATGTTAAAAACCCTGTACATTTTAATCCAATAATGGATTGTCTTTTTTTTTGTTTTAAATTTTTTTGAAACAGAAAATGGGGAATATGTCCATGGGACACGGATGATGCCCCCGCTTGCATATAACATTTTAAAGGGACACAACTCAAGAACTGTAAAAAAGTGACGCTACCCAAATTTTTACTTGATCTGAGTTTTGTTGTTATAAGCATTGTTTTTAAGTTTCATAACATTTAGTTGAGGCAAATTTAAGTTAGAGAATGGAAATGAAAAATTCAGCAATTTTTACATTTGTAAAGGGGTATAACTCTAGAACGGTAAAAGTGACGCCACCAAAATTCAAACTTGATATGTGTTTTGTGGTAATAAGCATTGTGTATAAGTTTCATAACATTTGGTTGAGGTAAACTAAAGTTAGAGATCGGAAACCAATTTTGTGACGTACATGCGTACAGACGGACAAGGGTAAAACTTAATGTCCCCTCCGCTACGGCGGGGGCATAAAAATGTGAGCAGAATGACTGTGTTAACATATGTCAATTTCAATTCCAAAGTAAACAAGATCACTGCAGTCAATATAGTTCTATAAATTACATCTGGACTGAAGAACTAAGTCAACATAACCTTGGAGAAATTCAATTAATTATTAGATATTGGTTACTAAAATTATGAAACATTGAGCTAATAATCATTGATCAACTGAGCATCTACACTACAGGAATCAGAGACTTTTTGTTTGGTAATTCTAACTTTGTATTCCTACTGTATGTTTATGCTTCATCCTTGTAACATTTACGATATTATTTTCAGAAGTTGATGAAAGAAACGATTCTGTTGTCTTTAAGGCTTGAATGCATCTCATAATGAATAGAATCGATGAAACATTCATTTTCCTTTCCTTTCAATATTCTGTCAATCCTTTAAGCATCATACAAATAATGTTAATTTGTTCAATAATGAAGACCTTTCAGCTTGTTTTATTATATAAAGGATAACCTTACAAATATGAACCAATCTTTTTTTTGGACTTGGCAAAATTTCAGCTGACACAGGAACAACATTGACAGAACTTTACAAATGTACAATGTAAATATATAACAGGAATCAACATAGAAAAATTTTCATAGGCAAAGCTAATAAAATAATAATATTTACACCGTTGGTAAATATTTATATTCTATACATTTTTGTACCCTTTGCCATCCTCTCAATACATACATATATATATGAGTGTAAAAATATGTATGTGTACATGTATGCATCTATATTGTAATGGAGGGGGGGGGGGGATTAAAACACTTTAATCTAGTCCTTCAAAATTATACTGATAAAGAATTATTTTCCAAACTTATCTTATATCATCTCAAAATTTCAAAATTTATGCTGTGAAAATCAAGTTTATTGGAAGGTTCAGGTGGTGCTTAGAATCAAGGGCAGAGGACTCCTTATAATTACCCTTACAGTGGTGATCCCCCTATAATTTGTTGCGGAAACCAGACTGTGCAGAAAGTTGAGTGCGAGTCAAGTCCCATTTAGCAAACTTTCTATTACAATACATACAAAAGGTGAAAGGGTGGCATAAAATTTATCAAGCTAGGATTTTGCTAAAATCTCAAGTCTTCTGTAGTTGCAACTTTATCCTTCAAGGAACATAAACATATAGTGTTTTCACTTAAATTGTATGATTTTTCTAATCTAACAAACAACAATCTGAGTTTAATTTCATCTTATTGGAAATTGGTTTGACATTTAGCAAATATCTTGAGACCGACCAAAAAAGAACAAATCTCAATTTCCTAAACAGAAACCTTGCCAAACGAAAATCAATTTTTCCCTTTTAATGTGAAAGATGTTTTGAAGTGCTTCAAGAAAGTGAAGCAAGAAGAAAGACCTTATTGGAAATTGATTTTACAGGCTATAACATCTTGTGCCTAGACAAGCATTTAATTTCAACACGCCTACAGAACGTAGAATGCCCTGGGGCAACTAAAACATTTGTCAGTTAGATTGGATTCCACCTTTCCTGTACATTTATATGTAGATGATTATACTGTAATCTGTATTGATTTCTATTTCATCAATAATGAATTCCTGGCCCTAATGAGTTCATGACTGTACAATAATGTACAGAATTAATGTCACAGAAACATCAAGACCATTTCATTTATGGTAATGTATTTTCATGAATGGCATACACCTGCTGTTTAACAGCAAATGTCAAATAAACACTACCTCTTCAAGGAAAACTATTTTAGTATGTACATGAAACTGACATTTGTGTTATAGCAACAGCAAGTTCTTTCATCAAAACAACTGTCATGCCATTAATGTAAACAAGTTACAAAACAATAATAACACTGCTGGGAGGAGATTTCTATATACATGATAGAAGCTTTCAGATTTATTTCAGGAATTTTCAAATGATTGCCAGCTAGCTATAGAGATCTACAGAAATAATAGACTTTTTTTTTATAATATTGTGAAGACCAAGGGAATTTTACAGAAAATTTCTAAAACACACCATTCTCAAATTTCTTATCAATGCAACATACACTTTTATGTTCATAAGAATGAATTTTAGAACATACATGTATATATATATAGATTTCATCTTTCAAATATAGCCAATAATGTTAAAATAATTGTGATCAGGAAGCTATATAAAGTCATGTGATATAATAATGGGCTAAAACATGTGTTTTTCTCATTCTTCCTTAAATACATTCATCATGTTCTGTTCTTATGTAATCGCATTAGAGCAAGCCATTGTGTGGTAGAGGGGGAAAGGAGGTCTTTCTTTCATCTATACAATACTATATGTAAATGTCTGGATGTGATCAGATAAATTTATCAATCATTTATTAACATGTTCCTGTTTTCTTTATCAATGATTTTAGCAAAGATTATCACAACTGACTAACCATGAACTTGAGTTACTACAATGAAATAAGGCATATGTAAAATATCACTTACATTACAAATGTTTCATATCTTATCCTTATTTTTAACCTCCAAATTCACATCATGAATTATTATAAAAATTGGGATGTGGTATTAATAGCCATTAAGACAATTATCCACCAGAATTAAAAGACTTTGAAATGATAAATGTAAAAAAAATCGAATAAAAATTAACGGCCTAGTAACTTTACCTTTAACCTCCAAAAACACATCATAACCTTACCGTTAACCTCCAAAATCACATCATAACCTCACCTTTGGCCTCCAAAATCACATCATTCCCTTACCTTTAACCTTCAAAATCACACCATAACCTTACCTTTAACCTCCAAAATGGGTAATTACTATCTGTCTGTTCTCGAATAAAAAATCTTGTAGTTTTTGTTGCTGCAGTTAACATGTGCTCTGCTGGTAATCCTTGTGTTTGGGAAATGTATCGAATCTGTAGAAGCAATTCAGTGGCATTTTAAGACAAAAATACTCTTACTATAGCTTTTGGAGTGTTTCATTCATGGATGTTTATAATGAAACATTCTATGCACAGACTGTGGATTCATTTGTTTTCGTGGGTACAGATTTTCGTGGATTCAGGAATGATTGTATTTTCGTGGATACTTGATTTCTTGGTTTTACAAAAGTGTGCACACAAGCCTATAGAAATTTGGTACTTCAATGAAAATTTAAATTCATAATTCACATATACCCACGAAAGCAACGAAAAACGGTATCCCACGAATAATAATGAATCAAGAGTATTGGATTTCTCTGCACGTTTTAAATTGAAAAAAAAAACTTACATCCTGGAAACACTGTGTTTATTTTAAAATTCAGTATTTTTTTCTTTAAAATCTGACAATGGTTTGACAAACTCAGTAACTAAATTTTATAAAAGAAAGAGAAGTTTTGAAAATCATAAATTTTCATATTAACTGCATTTTATTCTTATAAACAAATTTTAACATGATCTATATTTTCCTTTATTTGTTCTTGATGAATATATTATCAACACACCTGATCATATTCTGAGGAACCTGGATACAATGGCCATCCTAGAAACAACTCAGCTATCACACATCCTAGGGACCACATATCAATAGCCTCACAGAATGGCAGACCCAACAAAATTTCTGGTGCCCTGTAAAATAAACATCTCTATGAGTAACATGCAATAAATAAAATCACAGATTTACATATTTTTAAGACCAAGTTTATAATCTATACATAAATTATGTATTGTTAGCATTCACATTTTGTCACTTATGTTTTGTAAGATACAGCTGGCCAATGAAAAAAACAACCTCTTGTTTTACATACATGTACATCAAACCATACATTGTACATCATGACCATGAATGAAATAATTAACAATGGATAATTTGAGAAAAATAAATTAGAACAATCACCTATAGATGCATTGAAAGTTTCCAGTAAGTTACTTCTATTAGTGATGCCAATGACAGAAAAATAACTGCATACAGCCAGTGATCTACCATGAAATTTCAAATAACAACCTGGCCTGGAGAAAATTTTCAATAGCATCTTGTTGCTATAAATAGCTAACATTCAATGCTTCAGGGTATATCAAATGATGCTAAATAAATACTTGGAGGAATTCAAAACTGATAGAATCAGGGTAAAACTTCACTGTGTACTTGTACCTACATGTTACATAGGAGGAGCTAGGCAAATACTAATAGCCATATTCAATTCCATGAAGATGTAAAGACTAAATCACATTCACAGTTATTGTTTTAAATGTGTGTTTCATGGAAGATATACATACAGTAGAAACATTCTAGATGTTCAAAGAATTCACACTGTAGAAATGTCATTATTCAGTAAATTCTTTACATTGAAAATCGAAGCTCACATAGGATGATTGTACTATTTTCTTCATAATTCATATTATTTTTTTCTTCCTCAATTCATATTTATAAAATACTTAAAGGAAACATGCATACATGTATAAATTTGCAATTATAAAAGAAAGGAAACCAATTTTGGGACGTACGTACGGACGTACAGATGGACATGGGTAAAACTTAATGTCCCCTCAGCTACGGCAGGGGCATAAAAATTCATAAAAAATCAAGGTAAACTCAAACTTGTATGTTTAACACATTCATATAGTAAAAGCCTATCTAATTTACATTTTGTTCAATAAAGCATCATTAAAATCATTTCTACATGTACTGAAGTATCATTTAAACCTCAACAACAATTAAAATTTATTCTCTCTAACCACAAAATATCTTATACATATTGTTTACATTTGACAAACATTTAAATTTTATTATACAGAGCCTAACCTAACAAAGCCATTTCACTGTAGGTTTATGTTGGAGTATACAATTCTTTCTTATACATAAGAATGTTTATAAGGTCAAGGTTTTAATAACCTCTAGATATGATTAAATATACATAATGTAAACAGAAAACATACCACTAACTACATTGTGTACTCTTCATTAACCTCACAAGTAAACAAATGTATCTATATGTGACTTTTACCTGTTTTAAACATAGTTTACAAGTAAATTTCTTAGTGATGATCAAGTTTTAAGATTTTTTATCAAGATTTCTATTTGAAGGGGGTGGGGGCAGGCTGAACACATTTTCCCTAAAATAGTAATGAGACAACTCTCCACTGGAGATCTGACATAGAAGTTAACATGTACACTATCAAGAAAAGCTGACATTGAATCTTAAGATACAGATCTGTACATTACATTGTAGGAAAAGGCATTGCATGGTAATATATTAATTGCAAGGTACATGTATCTACATGTATTCACATATGGCGTAATAAAAAAATCATAATTAAAAAGTGGTGGTTGTCAAGTTCTTGGTTAGTTTTGCAATGATTAAGCTAGGACTACAATGCCAAAAACCAATCCATCTTCATTAAATAATTTTTAAGCTTGTCATAAATCTTACATCTTAATTCAGTTTGCTTTGAAGTATTTTTTGACTTAAGTATAGTTACATGTTAAATACATTTCCCTCTTCCTTGGATAATCACATAAATCCTAACATTAAACAACACCGCAAATAATGTTCTACCATGAAAGAAGGACCTACTTTTAAATTTACAAATATATCTGATGTATACTTGAACATGTACAAAATTTAAATGACTGAACTTGTATAAATCCAAATGTACATGTCCAATGTATACTATGTACATTCATTCTGCATGTCTTTTTTTGATTTTTTTTGTTTCCATATTAGTATTTATCTCTTCATTTTACACTTATAAATTTCCTTTAAATTTTCAGAAGTCTTATAAAATCAAAGTACCTCTTTTTGGGGTCTATACATTGTAGTATTGAAAAGCAAAATTTTGGTGAAGCACTTTAGAAAACCACAGATGCATACAAGTTTTAATATAACAAAACTGCCAGCTGGAACTCTAGCTGCCAGCAGAGGTCAAATAATGCACACAGTTATTTAGCATATTTTGTAGATTTACATTTGAATACATTGTACATGTAGCATTGTAACTTCAAACAGATATATGTATATATATGCTTTCCTTCCAAGAATGTTTAATTAATTTCTTGACAAGACAAAAACCAAATAAATGGGGAATGTCTCCATGGGACACAGATGCCCCTGCTTGCATACATGTATAACGTTATAAAGAAACATAACTCAAGAACAGTAAAAGTGACGCTACCCAAATTTGTACTTGATCTGAGTTTTGTGGTAATAAGCTTAAGCATTGTGTATATAAGTTTCATAACATTTGGTTGAGGCAAACTTAAGTTAAGAGAACGGAAACGAAAAATTCAGCATTTTTCCATTTGTAAAGGGGCACAGCTCTAGAACGGTAAAAGTGACACCACCAAAATTCACACTTTATCTGTGTTTTATGGTAATCAGCATTGTGCATAAGTTTCATAATGTTTGGTTGAGGCAAACTAAAGTTAGAGAACGGAAACGCTGAATTTTTTCATTTGTAAAGGGGAATAACTCTAAAAATGTAAAAATTCAAACTGGATCTGTGTTTTGTGGTAATTAGCATTGTGTATAAGATTCATAACATTTGGTTGAGGCAAACTAAAGTTAGAGAACTGAAACAAAAAATTCAGCAATTTTTTCATTTGTAAAGGGGCATTACTCTAGAACGGTAAAAGTGAAGCCACTAATATTCAAACTTGATCTGTGTTTTGTGGTAATCAGCATTGTGTATAAGTTTCATAGTTTGGTTGGGGCAAACTAAAGTTAGAGAACGGAAACCAATTTTGGGGCGTACGGACGGACATACAGACATACAGACATACAGACGGACAAGGGTAAAACTTAATGCCCCCTCCGCTACAGTGGGGGCATAAATTCACACATGTACACCCTCATTTGACACCATGACCCACTATTGGTCAAAACTTAAATTAAGCATATACATGTATTTTAGAAAGTTCACTTCATAATGAGCATGTGTACTAAGTTTCCAAGTTGATGTGACCATGACTTTATGGAAAAAAACTTTAAACTGAGAATGGACTGATTTTATATTATCACATTTCCATATTCAGTGAACCAAAAAAACTGGATCATACCCTTATTTAACATATTCTTTTAAAAATTTCAACACAAACATGTGTTACGGGTACTTAGTTTCCAGTTGATGTGACCGCAACTTCATGGTAAACTACATTAAATCATAACTTTAACCTGAAAAGGGACGGACAAACAGTCAGACAAAAAGACACAGGCAGGAAAATAATTTGCGCCCGTTTAAGGTGGGGTTCGTGTTGCCAAGTCTTTTGTTTTCTATGTAGTGTTTTGATGACTTTTGTTTGCCTTTTACATATAACTTATAATTTTTTATTGTCCCTATGGTGTCTTTTGCCTCTTCTTTCTACTATCTCAGTTATAGGTAGGGCATATGAAATCCAAACTTGTGAAACCCTGCTACATGTACAAATGTATAAATATTCATGTGTACCAGTATAAAATCAGGAAACACATCACTGGAAGTCAATGTTCTGATATATCTATGTTTTATATTTGTCCTTTAAAGAATAGGATTTGTATAGCTGAATCTTTGTGATCTAATGCTTTATAGAGCTTCTATCTGATATAGACACTTATTTATGATTAAAGACCTTGACCTCTTGGTGTGTGTTCTTGTATGATTATGTTGTTGGATACTCAGTGTGACAGTAACAATATATAGCTGTTTTGATTGCTTATACATACATGTACCTAACATCATCTTCTATTCACACTAAAAGTGTATTGTATACATTGTACATAATACATGCAAGATATTTAATTTCGACTCAAAATTTCATGTTATAGAAATACATTGTCCCTTCCCCATGGTTATAAAAGTGACCTTAAGCTTATAAAGATAAGGCATAATTTTAACTTCATAATTTTAACTTCACGTATTGATGATGTGTCCAACATCTTGTGCACAGAAAGTATCCAGGTATACAGATCTGTTGGATTCTTTAACAAAACTTTTACAAAAATTCCCCACAGGATGAAACCCTTTATACTTAACTTGGCCATTGACAAGCTTGCTAATAAAATCTGAAGATTGAAAGATTTAAATATCTGTAAATTGCACTCCTTTAGATTGAATCGATAAAGGTTTCCAATTTCTTGAGCCTTTTTCATAAATGTCAATTGGGCTTTTAATCCACACTGTGTGTCGCCAGCAAAGCCGGTTATCGGTCACTGATTATCACTGATAAATGTTCAAGACTACTGACAATATTGTAATAAAACAGATTTTATTTCCAAACAATCCTAGGGGTTTTACATTTATTGCACAAGCACATCACAATGTATGTACAAAGTCAGATATAAAATTTGAATGAAATAATCAGTCATTTTGCATACTAAGTAGATTGTTTAATCAATTCCTGATGAATTCCTTATTACTAAATATATAATTACATTTCAGATATACACCTTCAATGTATATATGCAGACTGTGTGAGTCTTGTAAACATGTCATTAAGTGACTTGAAGTCATCATACAAATTTAATTAAATTTCTCATTTAATTATGTTTCTTCTGTGTGGCTTATTAAATAAAGTAAAATCCAAATGCTGTTGAAATGGCATTACAAAAAAAATAAACAACATATATTCCCTCTGGTGATTACATGATCACATGCTCAGCTCTGAAACGTAAACTTGCCATTCTGGATAAAGAAATTCTTTAAACGTTAAAGACAAGTTTAATCAAACAAAGTGGTTTCATTTTTTTCTAATTTATTTTCTTTACCACATGCCATGGTGTAGAGTAATACACATGTGCAACAAAATTAGCAGTCAGCATGATAACATTAAGGCTATAGGAAAATTTATTTCTCAGGATAGATTAAATTTTTCATAAGATGAAGCTTGGATGCCATATGTACAAATATACCAAAATTCTGTTATCAGTCAGAATAGTCTGGTCATTTGCTCAGTGTACATGTTTTTGACATGTTCCCCATTTCCATTCTCAATCTTATGTACATGTGTGAATTAAGTTAGCGAAAAACAATCAGATAAACTGCTCGTATGGTCTTTGGTGAAATGAAATCACAATTTCTGTATCCTGGACCAGTGACAACTTTTTGCTTGCCAGAAAACTTTAGCTTTATTGAGTCAATGGTTAGCCTATTTCTACAAAATTGAAGCGCACTGTATTAGCTTCAACCTCATTAAGATATGTTTTTACTGAAATTGGCTAGTCCTTGACCTATGAGTACATACATGTTTTTACTTCTTGCATAAACATTTTTTACATTGTACTAGTACATGTATTTGTTGACTACTTAGTCAAGTTTATATCAGAGGTCGACTTGATAAAATTTAAATGTATGGCCAATAGGGCCAGTTAGAGCGTAAATTTACTGGCCCAACTCAATTAAAATTTGCCCTAATAATACTATCTAAGTGAAAATATAGTCAAATGTAATGGCCAATGGGACCAGAAGTCTTTATGTTCAACTGGCCCTATCGAAATTCTTCTGGCCTTGGGCCAACGGGCCAGTGCTAAAGTCGACCCCTGATTATATTGTTATTTTTGGAATTCAGGATCATTTACATTTCCCTTGAAGCATTTTTTCTCAAGTACCAAGTCTTCTGTGTATTACATAAAGTAATTTCCATTTTGTGAATGATACATATAAGCATACATGTACATGTACTATGTAACCTAAAGTAATTTCCATTTTGTGAATGATATAAGCATACTTCAGTCATGTATGCTTACCCATTATACTGAAGCATCCTACATGTAACTAACAGTCATAATAGTTGCCAATTAGGACCTTACCTGTAGTATCTTGATTGAAGATATGTTGAACATACAGCTTTTGACACATGGCTTGCAGAACCAAAGTCTATCACTTTTACACGGTATGGAAATTGCACTGGGTCCACCAACATGATGTTTTCAGGTTTTAAATCCGCATGAATCAAATGGAGGCTCTTCAATTTAAGAAGAGCCGTCAAAACTTGTTGTGTGACAGGACGGATGTATTTAAGTGGCAGTGGTTGGAATTTGTTTTGTTTCAAGAAATCATACAGATTTTGTTCCAGCATTTCAAAAACCAAACATGTATGGTTTTTGTGCTGAAAGCATTCATATGCTCGCACGAAATTAAATTCGTCTGCATTTTCATGACTTAACCGAGTCAATATGCTCACTTCTATTTGTCCTTGACGAGCATAAGATGGGTGATTCTTCAAAATTTTAATGGCAACTATTTCATTAGTGCCTTTTTTCCAACATTTCACTACTTGACCAAATGTCCCACGACCAAGAAATTCTAGCACTTCATATGCATTGTGACTGGTCATCGAATACAAAACCTCATGTTGGACCAGTTGATAATCCCCCTCGCTATTTGACGAGGAGGTATTTTTGGAGGTAGTCGTCGTGGCAACATTTGCTGCTTTATCTTCATCACTTGAAACTGGCTGTGTCTCTTGCACTTGGAGCTGCATGGGTGCGTCAAGGTCGTCACTCTTCCTTTTAATGCCACATCTCTGGTACGAATTTAATAGTTTTATTGTAGAAGCACGGATATAATTCTGAGTCTGATTATCAATATCTCTTAGAACATTACGATTCTGCGGTAAAATATATGCAGTATTATGTTGGTATACTATTGGGCTGCTTGATATTTCGTGTCGACCAAAAGTATTCACATCATGGATATCTGGTTCTAACTTGATCTTCTTAAAGTTACTAAATGCACTTTGTTTTGAACTGTACTTATGAAAGTCTTCTTGCATCAGTAACTTTTAGTCTGCAAAAAAAACACAATAAAGATAAAACAAATAAAACATAAACTTTGAAGTTTGACAGAAATAATTAATAATGAATGCCTGCATTTATATATATAATTAACAGCCATGTATTAAAATTTTTTTGGTTTCCTCCTTGTCTTTCATGTCTTATGTTTAACCTACACTCATGTATATAATACAAAATGTACAAACATCCAACATATTATATAAGGAGATTTATTATTCCAGACTTAAATATTACGGAAGCATTACCATGAATCATGATTACAGCTTGTCTTTAACCAGATTTTCTGGATTCATTAAGGTTTAAATGAAAATCAAGGGATTATAATGTGCAGTCTTCACACTCAACCACAGGCCCACCAGCCCAGGCTTGTAAATTTGCTTTCGGGCCTGTAAAAATCGTCTCTACCGGCAAACTGAATCTTATCAAAATTTTCAAATTATATCGTGAAGACTGAATGTGCATTTTGTATATCTTATTTGACAGAAATTGAGAATCAATTTATTTACAAAAATTGCCTCCCCTCTAACAAAGATGAATATTGTTAGTAAACTTGTACACAACTCTGGGAAAGTAATTAGCAAAACACGGAGGTTCTGAAAGACAACATTTAGTTATCGCTGAAGTACATGTATAGTGTCATTGAGTTTCTAATCATGATTCAGTGAGAATCTCTCTTACCTCTATATAAGTAAGACCTACCTAATGGCAGTTGCGTATGTTTTTCACTATAAAGGTTAGAAATGAGGAATCAAAATTTTTTTCAGATATGAAAAAACTTCCTTTTTCTTACTAACATGTACATCTCGTGTTGATGTAATATTTGCTGCAACCTGTTTTATTTAAAAATAGTCAAAACAGTGAAATGCCAATAAGCGTCATGATGTTGTAAAATGATCAGCATTTATTATCATGTTGACACATTTACATGTGTAATGGTGCCCTTCTTTCTTTTGCTCACAATGAACCAGAAGCCATTCAAGGAACAGTTACATTGTATTATACATGGTCAGTTACTAAAGTTACTAAATTTATCGAAGCATATACCAAAACATTATTTTTACATGTAGCTTAAGTAGATTACCATTCTAAAACATAATTTGCTTATAAAAAGAAAAGGGGATAAAAACAGCCTTTTTTGCTTTGGGAATAGGGGCAATATTCAGTGATAACTTGTTGGTGGAATTTTTTTTAAAGCTCTTGACTGGCCTCGAGTATAAAATTGGTTGAGATCTAAAATCTGGGTAGTGTTTCCTGCAGCTTTTGAAAACGGCAGGGTAAGTTTTTTCTCAGAGGGCACTCTTAGCACGTATACACGTCTTAACGAGAACCCTGATTAATACTGGATCACTAAGACTGATTGTCTAAGGATGTATTGTGAAAGTGGACTTTGCATGACCAAGATCATATGCATTGCATTGCTTTTTAGATGCACAAAAGAGGTGCCAAATACTTTTGGGTCTCACATGTTTATACCAATTAAAAGCTACCTTGCATTTGGCTCATAACTGTACAAATAGTTTTAGGCTATTTAAGGATTTGTATAGCAAGACTTACATGTACTATACATATTCTTGTGCTATTTATCTTTTTTTCAGTCTAACACTGTTTTTTTAAGTTTTTTTTTAATGAAATGTTGTTGATTTTTCTTACAATTCAAAACTATATCAGATATATTCTTAAATATAATTTCATTTAGTATAAAAGCCGTCGTAAATTCACACCCAATCCGACGTCTAGATCGACCGAATAATATAAATAGAAACAATAAACAAACATCGGATTGTTTATGTAATAGGTAATGTTCATCCAATGCATCGTTAAATTATAACTCAAACGATCTCCTGGTTCCCTTTAAAATTGTCTACATTTTAAATTCGTAGAGGTACAAATCGATGTTGTGCCTATAAGATTCAATCATGAACCATATTTGTACTCTTTTGCTTCAAAACAGTTCAAACATAATTACGAAATTCAATAAAATGTCGGCCATTTAAATTTTGATTTCGTCCCAAGGTAAATAACTTGAAATGGTCTTGTTAAAAGATGAATTAAAGAACCGATATTAAATTAAGGTGAGGCGTTCTAAATTACGACAGAAAAGGGGCATGGCGCCAAATTATTTTCCTAAAAAGGGCAGAGACATCAAGAAAACACGACAGGGCGTCATACCACACCAAAAACCTCCTATAGGAAACACTACAGGGTTTACCAAAAAGAATAATTAGCTTTCAGCAATTGTGGGAACAAAAACTGTAGGCTCGAATCATAGTGATCTAGGTTTTGCTGAAAGATACTCAGAACAAATCTGAATCTCAGCGAAAAAATTGTGAAATTTTTATTGACTCAAGAGAGAAGTGTTTTTTACCTAAATGCAGTAACCCTTCACACTAGTCTTGTTTTAACATACATTTTGTAATGCCTACAATTTAACTACCGTTAGTTGAAACAACTGAACGACCATGACTACAGCTCAAAATATGAACTACAAATGTACTTTTTAAAACACCTGCTGCAACAAAAAATAATCATTTCAAGCAATGAAACAACACAATTTACAAAATATGCACTTATACAATCTACCATGAATACACTGTTTATGATGTACAGATGTTAATACATTTACAATGTACAATGGAAACTACAAATCCTTCACAATTATGTCACATTGATTTGTAGGAGTATTTTCAGTTTCACTATTGTTCTGTCTGTAGTAGGTCATCTGCACCTGTTTTGCTCACCGTATGAGTGTTAAACATCTGTATTGTCTACTACAAATGTACATGGCAGTCTTCATGCTCAACCACAGGCCCTCCAGCCCAAGCTTGTAAAATGCTGTAGGGCCTGTAAAAATCATTCTCTACAGGTCAATAGAATCTACATGTACATGTAACTAAAATGTTTGTAAAATTCAGCTTCGGACCTGTAGATTCAAAAGTTTATGGGCTGATACAAGTGGTTACAAGAGACTTAGAAAGCAATTATTTTCAATGCATTTTCCATCGGGTGTTCAAATTTTAATTTCTTGAAAATAAACTAACAAAAAATGGGTAGCAGTAATATAACTGTAACTAGAAATGTGAGTGTTTTATTACAGCAAAAAAAAAAAAGAATGTGTCCATAGTACATGGATGCCCCACTTGCACTATCATTTTCTATGTTCAGTGGACCGTGAAAATGGGGGTCAAAACTCTAATTTGGCATTAAAATTAGAAAGATCATATCTAAAAACTACTGAAGCGGGACACGGACGGACGAACTGACGCACAGACCAGAAAACATAATGCCCCTACTACTAATATATACTACTACGCAAGTGGGGCCATAAAAAGGTATAAGCTCAATCAGAAAAGGTTGACCTAAAGTAAAATGCAGTTCTAATGGATTAACGAGCCTCTAATATCTGCACTAAGTGGGAAGGACAAATTTTAAACGGATCATTAGTTAAAACAATGAATTTCACTGACAGTGCTCTCCCCATGCTGTTTACGTGCTGTGGTATTCAGCGCTATGGCAATTTTCCCTGTTCTATTGAACTGACCGCAGCGCTATCCATTTCAATCGCGTCGCCATAATTTTAAAAACAAATTTTTTTTAAATTTTTCGCTTATCTTTTACTTCGATCACGTGATCGTCAGGTTTACTATTTTTGAATGTGTTATTTGCATTGGATCAAGTAACATTGCGGGACCAGTTTGATAAATTTTACAAAATGGTGTGTTTGAAACATCAAAATAAACGAAGAAATTAACATTATCATCCATTTTTTTGGAATTAAAAAGAATATAAAGAAGCAAATATGAATGGAACAAGATGAAATAAATTGACCGCATTTACCGACAACACTCACAAACTTGTTTTACGAACTTGTTAAACAGCGACCAAATTGGCCTCAATGTGCAAGTCTTTGAAATATTAATTATCATCTAATTGAACTAATAATTGTTTATTCAGCAATACTATAGTAATGAATTTTACCATTTGAAAACAATTAGGATATGATTAGAAAACTGATACTAGACTTGAGAAATTCACTTTCAAATTTCTCGATGTCCAGCCAGGGCCTAATCTAGGATTTTGGAGAGGGAGAAGTGACTTCTCCTTCCATGAGAGAGAAGGGAGAAGTGGTCAGTTTCTTGGAGAAGTGAGATTCCATTACCGTTTCGGTTGCATCGTGTTTTCGTGATTATCACTAAGGAAATTGTTTTAGATGCAATAAAAAATATACTTGCAGTTTTTTCATGTTATTGTACAAAATGTATATAAAGTTCTTAATAAAAAGGTTTAGACAATATAGTTGTTATTTATTTATTGATACCATTTGTACTGTCAACTTGAATTTAAGTCTAAATAAAATGATAACTTAAACAGACGGTCAGTTTTCCGTTTAAATAGTTTTGAATCTTATATCCGAGGATGTTCAAAGTCGCCGTTGTATTTATTTAATTTGATCGTCGACAGTATTAGTCCTGGGTTGTTTCGAAAATCTCGATTTTCCTTGTTAGTCGCCATTTTTTTTCACCTGTGCGACTTGTAAATCACAAGTTGTCTCCCTTTTACCAATTTTGATAGCGATTTGACTTCGCTATGAAGTCAGTTGGCCGGCGAGATATAGCGATTTTCAAAATTCTTTGGCGACTTAAATCGTCATTACGCCAGCAAGATTATGGCCTGTGTCCAGCTTGGGTGAAGCCATACTACAAATGTAATAAAATAGTGATCAGATGGTTAATAGTAGACTGCTCCAGTGTGTTACAAAACCCAACACAGAAACTGACAATGACATGATTGTGGGTCCTACATGTTTTACAGCATCACCTGTCTAGTGTTGACCCTTCATGGAAAAAGACTCTTGTGCTTTAAATTATTGAAAGATGATTAGATATATTTATGCCCCCACAACTGAAAGTCCCAAGGGAGCATATTGTTTTACCCCTGCCTGTCCTTCCCATTATGGGTATATAGCTATTCCACATATACATGTAGGAACTTATATTAAAGGTGTTCATGTAGTTAGGGTTTTTGATTATTATTAATATTTGCTCTTTTGGGAGATAGTTGAACTTTGTCATTTCTTAGAGTATATACTTGCATAAGACTAAGAGATGCATAGCGTTTCCAGATAGTGAACCATAGAACTATGTGCACCCATGATCAACTAAGTGTATTTTAAAATAACACTGCATCTGTGGGGGCTTCATTTGTGTTTCCCAGCTGACACAATAATATCTCAAAGAAAGTCCTACATTGACTTTATAATACAGTTACTTCAGAGTGGAGTGCAGGGGCATCACTTTCATCGTCTTTGTCTAGTTTATTGTTTAAATATATAAATGTTTTGTTATGAAATGTATGCTACATTTACAAAGTAAATCGTGATAATGAATAAAATTTATTTCTTTACTTATTTTTGTTTTATTATCTGAATTTACAATGGAGATAATTAAAATGATTCTTCATCTATTTTCAAACAATAACATTTACAAACAAATGGGTAACTTCCATCAGGACAACATTAAAAGAGCAACGTCAGCAGTATATTGTATAAAAAACATCATAACAAACCCATTACAAACGAACTATGCGCTGCAAAAATAATTCCAACCCTGTATCATTTCATCAGGAGCCCCCACTATTTATTCAGAGTACATGTTCAATGTACCATCTTGTGGGGAAAAAGTCACAGTAAAATGTAAATAAATGTGTGTTATTACCCTATTGTGACCTACAATGTATCTATATTGTAATTCACATGTTCACAAGCATCTATCAAATTGTGTTGCTTGTTTTTTTTTCTACCAAACATGTGCAAAATGCCAAGTACTGAGTGTAAGTTAGAACTGGTTTCAGTTAATAGCCAGCAATTTTCCCAGTATCGCTGTTTGTATGACCAAATGTCCAGCAGTCTTTTAAGAAATTTTGAGAAGTCTGGAAATGGCAAATTTTCATGAAAAATGCAGCAACTTTTCAAAAAGATGAATACTTCTTGACTGATTTGCTAAGATGTTACCAGCCATTAAAAATTTCTAAACATTGACAATTTTCCAGATAATAACTTTGTTACTTCTTTAACCATGTTAACCCTTTCACTGATAGCCACCCTGACAGAAGCTACTCTTGAGATGATGGCTTCCCTGGCTATTGTGACACAAGTGGGAGATCCTCATATTAAATATCAATAAAAACTTGTCTGTAGTTATTTAGGTCTTTATTTTATTCACTTACACAATGGACACAGGTTTGTTAATGTTTTGATAATATTTTTTGTCAGAAAAAAATCAAATTTGCTAATTTTCGGCATTAAAATAGACGAAGTTCACGGAATTCGACTTTTACTCTTTTAGACCCAAAATCGTAAATTTCAAACCTAAAACGGCAAAAGTTTGAAAATTTTAACGAAGTTGTACAAGTTCCTTACACTGAACGATGTCCATTCCAATTGTTATTGTACATAAAACGACATTTTATGTCAAAAAGTATACTAGTCTGGCTTCAATTCCAAATTCTTTAAAAAAAAATGTTCCCTTATTTCAAATTCCAGTAAAATCCGTAAATTTCATTTGATTTTGACACGGTTTTCACCAAACAGAAGCACCATGTTTACACTTTCATCCGGGGATTCAATAAAGAAAGATAACTCGTCTTGGCAATGTTTGTCAGCGGAAAATATAAAGGAGTTATTCCGATCCCTGTAAACCTGGACTCATCGTCAGCTGTCTGAAGTGTGAATCCCAGTAAACCGGGATTCGTCGGCGAAAGGGTTAAACCAAAAATAATAAGACAGTTCTTTTGGTTCCATTTTCAGTAAAAACTCACCTCAAAGGATCCATTTTCAACAATATCTAGTTTTTACTCAATTGATGGATTATTACTAATTTTATAGTTACCTATTTGGCTGGTTGTGTCCAACCTGTTTCTAGTGCTTCTGTATCTGAATGAAGTGGTTTTTCGATAAAGGTGGAATTTACAAAATAGGGAACAAGAAACAATAATGAACTAGACTTCCAATACTAGACTATTTTTCATCCTTCAACAAAATAACCTGGATTCTGTTCTACTATAATTAAACCCAATTGGGGATATTGTGGCACACGTCTACAATGTAAACACTCCTACTGTACATGTGCAATATACCTGAGCATGAACACATTCCAAAAAAATATATGATCAAGATTTAATCAAGCAACTTTCTTCACATTATCACATTCAAAATGATTACATTTTCATAAGTATATTTTTTAATCTTGTAATAGATGTATTAAGAAAACAGTTTACAAGACATAACACTGGTTACCATTAACGTAAACATGACGAATGTAACCTTGACTTGAAATGTGACCCCGATAAACAAGGCGGAAATTAACCGCACATTGCAACGGTTTATCCCGCATATGTTCATCTTTAAATCCTTATATTCATATGTTATCTTAATTTTACACAAACCTTACCTTTCCTGAATATAAATCCAGTTATTTGAGCACCTGATGGTATATGTGCCCACTTTTAATGACATCAACAAAGAAGATCAGATTTTTGTTGTCGATACATTGGTATTCCAGTGCTTGTTTTGTTCCGTTTGAAGCAGAAAGTAACCCTCTTTTCACTAAAATTATCAGTCTGTTTGTTTCCCCCTTGTCATAAAAGATTAAAAAGTAAAATCATGTAGTTCTCTTCCCCGAAATATGTCTCAATATAGCCATTTTTCGTTAATTCATTCCGTAATGCTTTCGGGGGATCAAGTCGAATTCATGTTGATGAGACGTCGGGGATTCTCATTTCGATTCCGATAAATTATATAGTTTTGAATTTGATTTTTGTTTACATTGTAATGCACAAATTATCACTAAAATTGAAACTTTTATTATTTTAAGATATATGACGTTCATAAAAATATATTAAATTAATTGACGATAACAAAAGAATAAATGATATTGAATACGAAAATGTGGCTTTGAAATTAGTCAAAGAATTTCCCATCAGGTTCTCAACCATGACGTCATAGAAACATGTGTAGAAAGTTGGCCAAAATAACATCCAATCAGACACAATGACTATTAAAGGAATTTGCATTTTGCGCCAAAAAACCTCGGTAGTTTTCTGTTTCAGAAGGGAAAATACTTTTAATAATCATGATAATATAACTCATCAAATGAAATGTTATGATAAACTATATACACTATTAGAATCATATTAGTTTCTTAAAAAAATAACGAACTGAGACTGAAATAAAGATGGATACTGAAATAAAATATATAATAGGCCTAAACACACATATATATATTTAAGAATTTTTTTTTCAGGTTATACTCTCCGATACTCTTCTTGATCTTAAAATGAAGCCTAGGGGTTGGCATACTATTTGTAAATATATCTAGACCGAGCGTTGTCATGCTCTATGCGCATTCTACATGGGAAGGCATTGTGTAAATATCCTTTGAATAACCACTTGTGAATAACACCGATACCGACAATTTTACCGTAACTGCACAGTACGAGGTAAGCGAGGTCAAAATATTTGCAATATAATGCCAAGAACCTACCAAGTTGAAATGAACATACAGTAGAGCATGATATGAAATAATTATTTCGATACTGAATAGAAAACAATTAAACTTTTTCGCTCGAAGCGGACCTATATAAGACACGCCGGTTCGCATGGCAGTCGTTTTGATTTGATGAAGCATAAAGTTCCGATTATAGCATGATTTAAAAGTATGAAATACAAATCGACTTGCTTTTTAAAAGGATTTATTTAATTCAACGAAGAGTAAAACCCTACAGAAATGTCCATCTTGATCTCCAGCGCCATTCAAAACAAACTACTGATCACGGTTGCAAATTCTATAGGACTCTATATAGTAACGCCAAGCAAGTACCCGATGTTTAATTGGAATTAAGCCGGTAATAGTCAAATCTTAAAACTTATGATTTGGAATTAATTATATCGAAATTTTCTAACATGTCACAAACAAGTTCAGCTCCCTCCCGTCCTATAGGGTGATTCACTCTTTTTCAATTATTATTCTATTGCAAGAAAATAATAAGGCTTTAATATTACGGTAATTATTTCGTTAATTTCTGTACTTTGTGCATAATCTGAAAGAAATGTCACCGCTACATTTATTTTTAATAAGTTCATCTTTAATTGAAATATTTCCAACAATTTTTTTACTGATAACTTAAGCGGATAAAAAGAATATAAGAATAAAGAGATGTGGCATGATTGCCAATTAGACAATTATCCACCAGAGTTCAAATGAAGTCCGTGCATATACTCAATTGTATCGAATGTAGTCCGATTTCAAATATGCAGTTGTTGTCGGCGTAAACCTTTTTGTTTCTACTCATGTTTGACTTTATTATGGAAAACACAATAATATAAAAAAAAAATATGGCGAGGTTAAACATGTCAGTTGTCAGTGTGCAAGCCTCCCATAACCTGGAACAGTGGTATCACAGCATTCCAATTGCTATTAGAGTGTCTTAAGTATCGTTTTAAAGTGCATCTTATATAAATTATATAATATTGCTTTTCCTGCCAAAAATAATAAATGAGGATGTTTATTCTAGTTGGAACATTATGTATTAATTGACGCGCGACAAAACCTTGACCAAACGAAATTTTATATACTCTACCTATTTTAACGAGATGATTTCGTTTTTATACAGTATTAGCCTTTTAATGTCTAATAAAGTGTTTTTTTTATTTCATGTTTTCCATTGATTTAGTTCTTTAGACAAAAACCTTTAAAAAAATCAGTAATTTGTGATAGATACCTGCTGGACCAAATTATGGCTGAAATAATTTAGATTGTCTCTTTTAATTTTAAAGCAGAGATAGTGTCTTGGGATATCTGGTGAATAGATGTCCACGTTATTTGGTCTATGGTGGATGCTTGTACCATTGACAATCATTCCACATCTTCTTTTATCTATCTAAACAGGCAAAAATATCATTAAATAACACGTTTCCACTATGTAAAAAAACGGTTTATGTTTTTCAAAAGGTGAAAATACCAAGGGCATGCGATATCCATTAGTCGAAGACGAAGACAATAGATAACCCAGACCCAACCCCAAAAAATGAAATAAAAGATGAAAAACAAAGTACCGGCGATCTTAGTGTACTCGTAGTTACTGAAAGCTAATTTAATACCAATTCGTACTATAAATAAACCATGTTTTCTATATATGATTATCTTTCTTTATTCTCAATAAACCATCATTTTGACAAGGTATTGAGAAATACATAATTAGTGTACAATATATACAATAATTAATAAAACACAATTAGAACAAGACATTTTATCAACGAAAAATTTGGATGGCTTCACACTAAATTACGCCTGGAGTACGCACAGATTATTTGTAATTTTAATAAATTTGCAAAGATTAATAAGCTTTGCTTTCTTTTTTGATGACATCAATAATTGATACTTTAAGATATTTTGTCCTTCACATATAGTATTTGCTTAGAATCTACTACCGGTATTTTGTTTCAACTTTGAAAACTACTATCAAAGTACAATATTGAATAAGGTGTGTATACACTACCAGGTTTGTTGGAAAGTTCCCATTTTACTCTGACTATGTTTACTGGTCCGATTGTTATACATGTGCTTTAGTTTTGATGTATCATTTCAAAACTGTCCTTAAATAAATATACGAAACATGTATTTCCATTTATTAGATATAAGAAGTTGTGGTATGAGTGCCAATGAGACAACTCTCCATCCAAGTAACAATTTGTAAATGTAAACCATTATAGGTCAAAGTAAGGCCATGAACACGGAGCCTTGGATCACACCGAACAGCAAGCTATAAAGGGCCCCAAAATGACTAGTGTAAAACCATTCAAACAGGAAAACCAACGGTCTAATCTATATTAAAAACGAGAAACGAGACACTTATGAACCACATCAACAAACGACAACCACTGAACATCAGGTTCCTGACTTAGGACAGGTGCGAACAAATGCAGCGGGATTAAACGTTTTAATATGCGCCAACCTTCACCCTACCTGAAACAATAATGTAACATCACAACATAGAAAGACACACTATAAAATATCAATTGAAATGGCTTAACTTAATCAAAAGACATATTAACAAAAACAAGTGAACATACACTGAACGAATAAATTTGATCTATGACACAATGTTTTTAAACACATCCTTTTTACGAATGATGTCAGTGAGGAAATCCGAAGTTATGGTATCAACGAGGAATATTGCACTTCTTTTCTTTGGTATTTTAAAACACGTTTACAACCTAGAAAACATGAAACCTTACTCATGCGAAAATCTATCGCTCTATTTCACGAATTCACGATGTTTTATTTGCTACGAAGCATGACTTACTATTCACTAATTGATTTTTCTTCTGCTACAGATTAAACTTCATGGTATACATTGTTGAAAAAAAAAAAAATTAATTACATCAGATATAAACGGAATTTATTATGCGTGAGGATGAATGTTAATACATGTTACATATCATCATTCGATCAAGTATTATTATCAGGGGCTTGTGCATGGTATATTCATATCAAATTGTGTTATCATATATCAAGACATTAAGAAAAGAGTATGGTTTATTGAGAATAAAGCAAGATTATCATATATAGAAAACATGGTTTATTTATAGTAAGAAAAAATGTACAACACTTCTGGTATATCAAATATTCAATGCACGTTTACTGGCAACATAAACGAAAAATCAAATCAGTCTCGAAACGAAAACGTACTAATAAAAAGAATTCGGGTTCCAAGTCCCAATGTCGTCATATTGTTATGAAATATTTGACACCGACGTATGAAAACAACTGCAAGTTGAATTCTACAAGTCGACTGGAAGGTGAAATTCCGTATGAATTTTACAGGTCTTGGGCTCATCCGAGTTAACGGTAATTTGTTCTCTGATATTTTTATAGCCAAGTTTTTGTGCTTTTGAGTATTTGCTATTTTGGTGATACAATGTACGTTAGTCCAAAGCGACATAACTCAATATCTTATTGGTGTTATCTAGCACTCTGCTAACTAAATGTACTGTGAATGCTATGCATATGTGCCAGCATAGACAGATATCCAACTTAGCGTAATTTCAATTTCTTATAATTTTAATGTTTCATTCATGTTTGTCAAATTTAATTTTTAAACTAGAATATGGCTTTTCAGGTATTTATGTCATGCGTTCGTTTGTGGAAAATATTTGTCTGCAAAATTGTTCATTGCACCGTTTGTGAATTTGGTCATCGGACACAAATGCATGACAAGATTCGGAATATTTCGCTGCGGATTATTTAGTTATTCTTCGCTATTCAAACGGATAAATGCATTGAAAATGTTTGCCATTAATTCACTTGCTTTTTTGTATGATATATATTAAAGGCTTTCTTAACAAGCCCACATGAACAAACCTTGTATGGTGTATTAGTGATTTTGAAAAAAGGTGTTTTTTCTTAGAATTTAATATAAAATTTTGTCTCATCTATACGAAATCGCAATAGAACTGAGCCAATGTATGAAGATACTGAAACTTATTACAAAACATGACTCTTATGGAATAAAATTATATTTGGGAAAACTTTGAAAAAATAAAAATTATATATTTATGTTCCATGTGATTAAAAAGAATAATTGATTACAGAAAGATTTTTCTTAATTTCCAAAAATTAATTTCGATCACTTTTAAAAAAATAACACGGACTTTACAGTCGTTGATGATCACACTTTTCCGTCGGCAAAATCGGATG